ATTATTAAGGTCTGACAATTCTGTACTGCTATGAGAGAAACGGCTTGCATTAATTCTACTAACTACGTAGACTCTGTAAGAATATCAATCTGTTCCTTATAAAAGGGGTTTTCTCTCTGAAATTTATCTTCCTGATATCAACTTTCATCGCAACATTAAGCTCATTTATTTCTAAGCCCTATAATGTTTGAGGATTTTTGAGAACTCTCATTATAACTCTACTGATTGTCATCAAGTCAATTCCAATTCATAGTGACCTATTGGACAGAATAGAACAGCTCAGTCAGTTTCCAAGCTTATACTCTTTGTGGAAACCTACCAGTTGGCAGCTTAGTACCAACCAAGGGGAAGGTATATATTTTAAATGTCTTTATCTATTTTAGGAGAAAATGAACTCACCTTCATTTTCTCTGCTGTCAGAGAAAGTTCTAACTCATGATGTTTGTGCAGATTTCAATGGCAAATGAGGCCCTTGAATGTATTATGTAGTTTGAGTTTTTGTGAATTAAATGGACAGAATCCATAAATGTCTAAGATATTTTGATCTTGCTATCAAAAGTAATTGTTTCAATATATCAGCATATTTTTAATTGGACATAATATATCAATCACAGATCTTGTTCTTTCATTTTCTGTAAGTGGGTAGAAGGTAGATATAATCAAATGAAGAGAATTGGACATGCCTTCTTAGCAAAGACTCATATGTGATGAAATTAATTGGGGTTTCATTTCTTACGCTGTAAGGATCTTGATATCACATTTTCTTGAGTAGAAGACCTGAGCACTGAAGTTTTACCAAAGACAGATAAAATGTCTAAAGGGATAGTTTCTTTTTGGATATAGTACTTACTCAAGATAGAACTATTCAAGTCAGGCCTGTCTGGATAGGACAGGCTGGATGAACAATCTGGAGGAGAAAACAACGGGACTGACAGTTCCGGGGGGACATGGGAGAGGGGGAGGAGGGGGGAAGGGAAGAAGTGTTAACAAACCCAGGGACAAGGGAACAACAAGCAATCCAAATTGGTGGGGAGGTGGGTGTGGGAGACCTGGTAGGGCAGGATCAAGGGGAATGTAACAAAGAGGAAGTGCTGAAATCCTGGTGGGGACTGAGCATGATAGTGGGACAGGAGGAGAATCAAGGGAAATAGAAGAAAGAGCTGGGAGGCAAAGGGCATTTATAGAGCTCTAGATAAAGACATGTACACAGAACTATTCAAGTAATCGTAACCTCTCTGATATTCATAAGTGATTCTGACTCATAGAGATCCTGTAGGGCAGAGTAGAACTGCCCCATATGTTTTCCCAGGATGGAAATCTTTATAGGAGCAGACTGCCTCATCTCTCTCTTATGCAGCAGCTGGTGGATTAGCTGCACTGACATTTCAGAAAGTAGCCAGTGTTTAGCCCATGTAAGGAACCAGGGTTCCTTACATATGGGTATAGGTTTTGTTTTTGTTTTTTTAACTGAAACATGACAAAGCACATTTAACTTTTCAACTATGTTTTTTGTTGTTAGGTGTGGGCAAGTCAGTTTCCACTCAGAATTCTATGCACAACAAAAGGAAATACTGCTCTGCCCTGTGTTATCCTTACAATTGTTGTCATGTTTGGCCCTTTGTTAAAGTCACTGTGTCAATCCATTTCATTTGAACCTTGTATGCATTAATTTAGGAGCATCTTACGATCATCCTTATCAATATTCATTCTGAGATATATCTCAGATGTATCTGATCTATCTTAAATTTGGTTGATTATATTCTGACCAGAATACCTATCATAGCATATTCTGTAGAATGGGAAACTAGTTGCATTTTTAGGATATTTAGTAATATTAAGTAATTTTGCAACTTCTCTGGGCTTCAGTATATCTCTATAAAAATTTGCAATTTGTCTTATTTAAGATATTTACCTATTTGATTTAAAATAGTCAAGTTCCACAATATAACATCATTTATTCCACTTTTATTGTTTCCCATTTTCATTCCTTCTTCTTTCCAAACCCTTCTGAATGTTTTTTTCTTGTGAAATGCTGCCCTTTTTGATTTTAAATTATTTGTTATTCTAAGAGTGTATACCTCCCTATCATTACTGTTCCTCATAATGTTTGGCTGAATATCAAGCCTAGGGGTATGTTCATTTCCAGACCCAAAAGGCAACTATAAGTCATTGTCCTGAAAGTTCCACCAGTCTCTGTCTGACAAATGTAAACCTGGTGTTTTTTATGATTTTGTTTTGCATTTTCCTCCCACTACATCCAGGACCCTCTAATATGATCCATTTCAGAGCAGGTAGAAATGACAGATGGGACCATCTAGATCTTCTGGTTTCAGGATCAAGGACTACTTGTTAGACGCATCTTCAATTTTCTTCACTCTTCTTTGTTCCAGAAAGGGAAAGACCAGTAGGTACCCATTAATGGTCGCCCGCGAACTTTTAAAGTCCCCATTGCTACTTATCAAAGTAGGATGGAGCACATTGTCTTTGTGGACCATTATAATAGGACTTGTGTTGATTTGGTTGGGTCAGGATTCTTAGCTTTGCTGTTGAAACCCCCCTCATGACAGCATCTAACATAGTCATCAACTCCATGATGGGTTGGTTCTACATTTGGCTGTGAGTACCCAAATTGTTCTTGGAAAAGTAGGATAGAGTGTTATCGCCTTTGTCTCACACAGCTTAATTGGAAGGCAATTTCATTGGGAGTGTGACCTATTTTCTATGTAAGTTGACTTTATATGGAAACTACCTCTCATCTTGTTGGTCTGGATTCTGCATCTACCTTGTAGACTTGCCATATTGCCTGCCAAATTTGGAGTCATTTGACTCCTCACGTGCCTGACTTGCTGCCTGGTTCATCAGACCCAGCAGTGACTTGAGTCAGGAAGTCTCCAGATCAACCTCTGATCCAGCGGTTTGAAACAGACCATTTTTAACCACTTGTCCAAGTGTGGGGCCCATTTTCTTGACAATGGAGTATTCCCATGAACTTTTAAAAGCTCATTCATATATGTATATATAACCACTAAAACCCACTCATCATGTCAATTCTAACACATAATGACTTTATTTAGGATTTGTGAGGTTTCCCATGTTTATGGGCAGCCTGGTGTATTTGAACTACTGATATTGTGGTTAGCAGCCCGGCACTTACCTGATTGCACCACAGTGGCTCATGTTCTCTGTCTCTTTATATACACACAAACACACATATAATATATACACTGTATATATTTTATATATACACGGTGTATTTACTTATATATACATATAGATATACAATATATATGCATATATGTACACACATATAAATGTGTGTATGTATGCATATATAGAGTTGTTCTATTAATTTTTGTCCTCCTTTATACAATTGAGATGTGTGCATTTGACCTCACAGTATGAAGGGGCATCCTCACAGTCCCCCACATCTACTTCAATGAACACCATATCAGCATGCTTTTCATACAAGGAATGAAAGTAAAAACAGGCTTGATCAATGACAAGGTTCTCACCAGGTGGCCTAGAAGTCAAGAAGTACAGGTTGATATCAAGCTCCTTTGAAAGGTACCTCAAAGCATTCCTTGTTTTCTATCAGTTTCAGCATTTTGGCTTCTGAGGGCTGGTGTGTGTCTGGGTGCATTGAGAGGAAGGGCAGAGGCCCATCCGCCAGCGCAAGCCTGGCAGAGGCACAGTGCTGTCTCCCTTTAATATATAGATCATGGCCCTCAACGCATAGAATGGCTGTAGGAACACAAATGGCAGAGTCTAATCTTTTCAATTTGTGTATCTTACCCCAACACCCTTCCCTCTAGTTGTTTACAATTAAGGTAAATATTAATATTCAAATAACTAAACACAAAGGTGATCAACTCATTAAAGGGGCAGGAAATGAGCTGAGCACTGGTGATATATTAGTGGGTTATGTGTTTGAAATAGTTAAAGTTTATTGTGCCAACCTGGCTGATAAACACATGTGGGGTTAATTGAAGGGCAGAGGGATAAATGGCTCAGTAAGCCTCGCCTTTCTAGTTCTCCGGTCTCTTGCTTTCTGATGGTTGGACCTGGGTGCAGCTGCCTTAGCCAGTTCCCTGCTTCAGCTGGCAGGCTCACTTCCTGCAAGACATCCCCAAGGAGAATCCACATGGACCTACCCCGATGCAGCCCTGGGTGCTGGAGCAGCCATGTGGAGACCCCTGCCAGCGCTGATATGCTTACACGTTCCCTGATTCGGCTTTCCTCCTGCAGTTGGCATCATTGTGTGTGTTTTGTGAGATGGAGCAAGAGTTTGTGGATTGGTGTCAGACATATGGGTTAATGGGCTAATGTTGGACGTGTGGGCTTGGGCAGCCCTGGGTGGGATGTTTTCTTGAAGTGCACTTACCCTTTATATAAAACTCTCTCTTATACACGAGTTCCTGTGGATTTGTTTCTCTAATGTACCCAGACTCACACAGTGTTGGACTGCTATCCTTAAAAGTGGGAGTTCGAAAGTTAGCAGCCTCACGGAAGGAGAGCAGTGAGGCTTTCTGCTTTTGTAAAGATTTACAATCCCAGAAATGCAAAGGGCGAGGGAGGGGCGGTTCTACTCTGTTCTGTGATTTGAATGAACTTTATGGCACTGGTTGATTTTATAAAACTCAAATAAAAATCCTCATCTACGTTTAACCAAATTTTATAAAACAGCACCCTAATAACACTTTTGTCAACTAGTACCCTGATGCTACCACTAAATTAAAAATTGAAGATTGAAGAGGGGAAAAATATGTTTTCTAAACCTCTTCCAGAGAGTCTTGTAAAAGAAACAATTCTGTCAAGAGCTAATGGCAATATGTGCCACCCACGACTGAGCTAAAATGGTGCCACTGCCTGGCCATTCCCCCCATGCCCAGCACCGAACGCCAGCACCCCCTTCACGTATATTTAATAGCGTTTCCCTGTCAGTGACATGATCAAATACAAGGCAAGAAGCGGCAGGAGATTTCAGGGATGGCTCAGAAACGTCATTGTTTTCCCATTTATTTTTAAAATGCAAATTACACTAATAAGTCAAAAAATCACTCTGTTAAAAATACATTCAGAATTAACAACTGCAAAGAAAAAGACACATCAGGATTATAACTTTTGCCTTCTGAATATTAGGTTTATAACAAAAGCTCAGCCTAGAAAAATAGCATTCTTCACTGGATTCTGAGGAGGATGCAGCTGTACTACTTAGATGTTTTCCCAGACAAGTCACACGACTGTGCTTACTGCTCCCAAACAGGTCTGTCCACGGATTACTTTTTAGTAGTCAACAACTGTTTTGAAAATTTTGGTGGTGATGATAGGAGTGATTTGGTGGTAACTTGGCTGCAACTTAAACCAAGAATATGAGGGCTTATTTTGTGTGCTGAAATCTGTATCCATACACATGTATGATAAGGTGGAATCTCATCATCACACAGATGCACAATGAAACCTCACTATAATAGTCACATATAGAATTGCTTCTGGCATGTCGAGTACTTATATTTTAGGAGTCAAAGGACAATACACTGGTAAATATTTTCTCACACATTGAACATGCATGTCACTATAAGGTCATTCATTGTCTGAGGTTTCACTGATACATTGCAATTGTGTTTTTTATACATGTCTGTATGGACAAAACGTACAAGCCGCTGAGAAAACTCAAGCCTGAGTTCTGGAACGTTTTGTGTTGCGTTCACTGTCGTAGACACTTTGTGTTCCTGTATCATTTTCAGATGTGTCTGTGTGTGTGTATCACAGACATCCCTGCAAACGCAGGAATGGGATTGGCTTTGTGGATCTCAATGGGTAGTTTCAAAAGAGTTTAACCAATAACAGACTGCACAGGGAAAAAAAATAAACAAAGCTTGTTCCATCCCAATTTGATTGCATTTAAAGATGAGGTGTTTATCAAAAAGAAAAGAAGAAAGGACCGATTTTAACGTCTCAGGTGTTCCAAAGACAGAAGACTCATCCGAATTCCTGATAAGTCTGAGCTAATTAAGTTTCCCACTAATGAAAACAAAGTAATGCTCAAAAACATAGACCAAAACTTCCTAGGAGTTCAGAATATTCCATAAACACATTGACCTACTATTAAGTTTCCAAAGGCATCTTTGTTGCCAACTACGTTAACAGCACAGTTTTCTGCCACAATAATACAGGAGGATTAATATACACTCTAACACACAACAGATCCCCCAAATATCACAAAGAGATGTCAAATATTTCACCAAGTAACTACTGCTCCCCCACCCACCCAAATAATCTCATACGCTGAAGTTAGAAAAAAAAGTCACCTACATCGGGTCTTCCATTTGAATTAGATATAAAAGAGTAAACATCGCTAATACATGGTGAGTTGGCCTCGGCTGATAGAAATCCACAACTGTTGCGTGTGTTGGTAAAAGACCTTATTTGTCGATCCTTCGAACAGCACCCGGAGTGCGAGAAATGGAATCGGGAGTGATGCCATTTCTGTGGTCTGCGTTCTACCCAAACCCCATTAGAAGACCATATTAAAGAACGATAAAGAGGACAATTATTGTTGTTGCTCCTGTTGTTGCAATCGTCTCTTTGGGGCCACGGCGGAGGAGGCTCCCCGGTAAAGCACTTTGCTGACAGCGGCAGGTTTCTTACACGGGCACACAGCGGCTGCTGAGCGCTGCTGTCTTGTCCTCGACATGAAACACGCAGATTTGGGGTTTACACCAGTGTGTTAACCTACAGGACGGGGTTTGGACATGTCTGCACTGAGATTTGGGGGCGCACAATTTAGGTGGGTTAAGGCAAGCATGTACGGTCCAGCCTTTAGGGCAAAGAACCTGCCAATTCGGACTTGAGTTGCAGGGTCATCTGACGTGTTTTGCATGGTTTTGCAATGACATTGCCTAAGTAGCCGTGGTGCCGTCAGGACGTCTGGAGGACAGCAGTCCTTGGCCCGGGATGACCTCTTCGGAGCTCGCAGAGACAGGGAGGGAGTCGCAGAGGGCCTGCAGAGGGCACCAGCAGCGTGCCTGCGGCACTTTCCCACGGCCTGGGCGACCGAAGCCAGCTTTCTGGAAATCCAAGGTGGGCGTGTCCTGTAGGTTTCACTTAGAACTGCAGGCCCTGGTGGAAGTTCGTGTGTGCGTGCATGTGTGTGCGTGTGTGTGCGCGCGCGTGGCCTTTTGGTTTGTGTTACTATGTCTATCTAGTTAAACTCAGCGGCTTCTTGCTCTTTATAAAATGCAGGAGGCCACTGCAAAGGGAGAAGGTGCTGGGAAGGTCCGTGGGCTGACACACTGAAGTCATCTTGGTTATTTGGACCTACAGGAAAGAAAGGAGGAATACATATTGCTATCTATGTGGATCGCTCTCTACAGTTTAATCAAGGAGGCGAACAAGAGGTGCCAATGGCCTGCCGCCGTTTCCCGTTTCTCCAAGCCCAAGAGCAAGCCAAACAAAACAAAACCAAAAAATCCAAATCAAAATTGTGTTTTAAGCAAAGAAGCACTTTTCTTTTTTTCCTCTCAGTGCAACCTCATGGGTAGAGATGTCACTTGCGACGATTTAAAATCTATTTCTGGAGACTGAAGAAATGGACATGTATTGCTCTACAGTTAGACTGTCAATAAGAATGTGAGGTTTTCAAATATGCCACAGGACATTATCACAGTTTCTGCTGTGGGGAGCCCACATAAGCTACACTGGAAATAGCAGAGGGGGGCGGGGAGTAAAAAATGCCAGTTTGCTAGATAACTTACCTGTGAACATGTCTTTGTTCAGGAGCTTCATGGCTGTTTAATAATTTTGAAGAGACTTACCACAATGGAAGGAAAAAATGAAAAATCAAATCTTTCTTTCTTCGTGTATTATAAGGAATCCAAAGGATGACACACGATGGGCGTCCAGCCTCTCTGAAACCCCAAAGAGGACTGGCCATTCCCTGACGGAGGAAACTGAAAGCGGGCTGTGGATGCACATCACGGAGGCATTGTGTCCAGCGCTTTTCCCAGGAGTTCAGTCACAGAACATTTGCAGCTAAAATGGCAACCCCGCAGCTAAAACTGCACACTGCTTTTAAGCATTCACTTTCTTTCTAAGAACCAGCTTTTACTTCCAGTTGGTATATAATATTGTTGGGTGCGTGAACACAGATCTACCCGTGACGGTAAATTACTGGTACTTTACAAGACTTATTGATGGCTGGTTGACGAGAAACAGCACACGCCGAAGGACAGAATAGAGAGCGAGTTTAGATCGCTGCTTCTCAGCAGGGATTGAGGTTTATGTGTGAATCAGCGTTGTTTTTGCCACAGGTTTGAATGGACAGTGCCTTTCAAGTGGTTTGTTTTCTGGGTTACAAAGTGGAAAAAAACTTTCATTCATTACTGCACAATGTAAAATCAAAAAAGAAAGACACGCAGGGGAAAAAGCTTGTATGGAATTATGGCAACTAAGTGGTGCAGATGTACAAATCTGTAAATTAAAAATTAGGGAGGAAATGCAAAATCAGATGCACAGTTAATCTGTGAACCACCGGGGAAGAACATGGCTACTAAGGGATCAGAAACACCGCTGAGTCCTCTGGGCAACACTACTAGCAAGTTAATGGACATTTCTTTGCTTTTATTGGCTTAGTTTTACCATTTATAAAATACAATTTTAGTGTTCCAGTATATGGCATCCCTAAAAGATATTTAAGGAGTACTGGTGGTGCAGGGTTACCTGTTGGGTTACTAACTGCGAGGTCGGCAGTTATAAAGTACCAGCTGCTCGGTGGGAGAGAGCCGAGGTTTTTTACCCCTGTAAAGAGTTACAGTCTCAAATCCAGGGGCAGTTCTACCTTGTCCTACAGAGTTGCTGTAAATTGCAGTTGACTTGAGGGTACTGGGTGTTATTTATTTATTTAAGCAAAAGGGAAGAAATTTTTTGGAACCAATACGGGGAAACCCTACTGGGGCCCAGCATATCCTACTGTGTCAGCATGCCCAGGCAAAGGGTCACACCATTCACTGTACCCCCATGTCCCAGAAGGACTCCCCTTAAGCCGAGCCCCAAAGCTCCAGGACTGGCTGGGGGTGGAGATGTGTGGGTGTTTGGTTTTAATGAATATTTTGTTAAAAGGAGGGCAATAGTATTTTGACTAGTTATTTGTTATAGCGCCTAAGTTTATATATATTTCAGCTTCCAAAATATTTGTATTCTATTGAACATTTTATTTATTTCATGAGAAATTAGATCTCACATATCATTTTATCATTCCAAAGAATTAAAGAGGAAGATAATATTTTGTTGGCATTTAAACTATACCAATTAATAAAAATTATGTCAAGTTTTGTCCTCATATAATTTAACATTGGGCAAAGATACATAGGCAGGACTTTAAAAAGTTCATGGGATATAGAATTAAAAGATAATAAAACATTTCATGAATTTTTCAAAGCGCCCTTATAACTTTGTACAGCCCTCTCTTCATAGATATCCTTGAAATTAGAAGTGCTTATTTGAAACAATATACTTGCGTATGTGTACTAAGCATTCTTGTGTTGTAATATAGCTGATCCCTAGCAGGGTGGTGATATTGTATTATAGCTTGATCATATTTATTAATCAATCATATAGACCAACAGAAGGAAATGTTAAGTGATATGTAGGAACATACTGTATATACTTGTGTATAAGCCAAGTTTTCCAGCATATTTTTTATGTAGTTTTTGTGGTAAGATTAGGTGCCTCGGCTGATATTCAGGTCGGCTTATACTTGAGTATATATGGTATATGGTCAAAAGTAATCAACTGCAAACCTAGTAAATGTTCTGGTCTACTGTGGAACAAAAAGGTATTAAATGGATATCAAGTGTGAGATCCTTTGGGAATGACATACAGTCTATGTGAATATCTAACTTACTAAAGCCTTTCCATGAGTTATGTTGGGATAAGCCTTATTCTTAATAACCTTATGTTTATTAGGCATTATGTGACAGGCCTTGTGTTTTACATACATTATTTCATATCATCTGAGAAAAATTATATGAAGTAAATCTGGTTTTATCTGTTTTGCTGTGAGGGAATTCAGGCGTGGCGAGATTGATAGAATTATATAAATGAAGTTGCATGCCTGAGATTGTATGGATAGCCATCAAGGGCAGTTCTACCCTCCCCTGGAGCCTCTCTCGGGGTCGACATTGACTCCATGGCGATCCACTGAGCTTTGGGAGGCTCTGAATCAGTCCTTCTCAACTGCGGGTTGCGACCCCTTTGGGGGTCGAATGACCCTTTCACAGGGGTGGCCCGATTCATAACAGTAGCAAAATTACAGTTATGAAGTAGCAACGAAAATAATCTTATGGCTGGGGGTCACCACCACATGAAGAACTGTATTAAAGGGTCATGGCATTAGGAAGGTTGAGAGCACTGCTCTAATAGGTAACAGTAACTACTCTTCCTACTACTTTACCTTTATTTTAAAATAGAACCCTTTACACAAGACTGCACTGCAATATTGAGGAGCCCTGGTGGCATAGTGCATTATCTTGGGCTGATACCTACAAGGCCAATTGTTCAAAACCACCATGACAGAAAGCTGAGGCTTTCTCTTCTCATAAAGATTTCCCATCTCAGAAATCCATCGAGGCAGTTCTACCTTATCCTATAGGGTTGCTGTAAGTCAGAATTGACTTGATGGCACTACAATATTGGGAGGAAGTATAAGGAATCTAAAGGCGTTATCATCCAATTATTTTTATTTTAGCTATCAGAATTTCCTGGGACAATAGGAATCATTAGAGTATAAATAACAAAGAACTGCAATGCATGACAAAAACAAAAGAGATATCAGACAGAAAAAAAGAGAAATGTTTATAAAGAAAGTAAAATTTGGACAACATCAGGTTTTCAAAATGTAGAATTCGGTGGCGGTAGGGGGGAATTGGAAGATAATTTTTGGTGCCATGGAATTGGGAAAATTCAGGCCCTATTTGGAGAAAGGCACAGGGTGTAGTTCAGCTGGAGGACAAAGAGAAGAAGGAAAAGGTTCGACTGGCCGAGAGACGACATCAGACTACACGCTCCAAGCAGAAGGCAGAGAGCAGTTCTAACTCCTCCGTGGACTTGGATTCCCAGTGTTTTCCTGTATGGAAGGTGACTGGGAAGACCATGGGTAACATCTCAGCAGAGTATTGGGGCCAGATGATAGTAGACTTGCAGGCTATGATAAGGACTTCAGTAGTTAGCAGGCTATGATAAGGGCTTAAGTAGTTAAGAAAGAATGAATGGTAGTTTCAGGCAAGGAGTGAATTCACCAGAATAGTACTTTAGGAAGATTAATTTAGAGGATGGCAATAGGGATTTTGAGCTGAAAGGGGGACCGGAAACCTTAAGGTCGGAGATAAGGACCACTCAAATTATGATAGTGGCTGTGGGATGTACAATAGGGCACGTGTGCTAGACTGTTTATGGAGAGGAGGTTATGCATGACCTCTAGTATAGGCTGATTTCAGAACTGACAGTGTCTTTTTTATGTGTTGTGTTGGCAAATGCTTTTCTAACATGACAAGTGACATAAGGAAGCATTCAGTTATTATGATGCCTGTTCATGCCCTTTTTTTTTTTTTTTTTTACAAAAGCTTAAAGAGGGCTATCTAAAGATTACTTTAATCTCCTTGGGGAAGAAACACTCCAAAAATCCATTTATTATCCTACATCCTAAAGAAGCTAAAAGGTAAAATGATTCAATGGGGGAGGACAATGACAACCAGCACATATCTTCAAAGTGAGAAGTTCACATTTCAAAATGAATTGGATCTTACTTTCTATTTTGATCTTCACTTGCAATTCAGCATATCACTTGATACTGATATATAGAATTTGTTATCAGTTGTTATCTCAGGGAATTTGCCTAAACACAGATATAGAAATCAGGTTCTGATGGTATGTCTGTTCTCTAGGGTGCTAGAGGTAAGGGTCTGATAAGTTTCAGTGTCAATGTTCCAGTTTCATTTCACTTTCAACGTCAGAAAAAGGACAGAGAAAAAGAATTGTGTAGTTTTTGTTTTTTTTGAACATAATATATGACTAGGTTTATCCTATCAGTTATCATTCAAAGCCGAGCACTCTTGAGAGTAAAAGGAAGTGCTGGTAATAATGGCAGCAAGATAACAGGTGTGAATGGAGACTGTCCCGGGGAAACCAGGACAAATGGTTTATATAGAGTTACATATAAGTGCCTATAATGCTATATTATTTTCAAAATATAAAATTTGGGGCTAAGTCAAAGAAGTCGTATAGTTGTATATAATATCAGATTTTGAGTCCAAGATTAAAGATAACTTTAGAGATGGCATTTTGATCATTCAAATTATAAATATATATATATGGAAATACCAATGGAATTACTCTAGTAAAACAATATTTATAGAAAATAAAACACTGAGAATCTTATAATGACAGCTGCATGGTTTGGGGCCCCAATTACATTTACTTGACCATCTTTTAGCATCCCAGAGACTACTTTCATTGTAAAGTACTTACATGTACATAGGCTGCAGTTGTAAATGAGATGTTTTCTGTGGCCCTTGATAGCCATAAGAGTCAAAGCCACCTATAAAATCAACTGAGAAGAGATGATTGCCATTAGTTAATTTTCCAGAAGTAATTGCTAATACGAAACTTGTTAATTTATTAAATTAAAAGTGACTCATTGTGGAGAGAGTGGAAGAGATAGAGAAAGTAAGTTCCTTTAGGATTTTAGTTTGTCTCAACTATGTGATTCAATGATTGTTTTACAAGAATCTATTCATTTGGGAGGAAAATAAATGCATTTCTCTCAAACCACCTACACCAGCGGTTCTCAACATGTGGATTGCAACCCCTTTGGGGGGTCGAATGACCCTTTCACAGGGCTCATCCAATTCATAGCAGTAGCAAAATTACAGTTATGAAATAGCAATGAAGATGATTTTATGGTTGGGGGGGTCACCACAAAATGAGGAACTGTATTAAAGGGTTGCAGCATTAGGAAGGTTGAGAACCACTGATCTAGACCTAATCACATTAAAATTACTTGCATGTGAAAGATGCTATATGCCTTTTGGGTTGGCTCCAGATTTTCTGCAATGTATTACAAATGTTACAGCATAAAAGTAATGATTATTCAAGTGTGTGTACTCATCAGCAATTTCAACACTAGTAAGAATAATAGACACTACATTGGTCCAATCTGCGGAGCTATGGGTAGGCTGGTGTCAATGAACTCAACATGGCTGTCCCTGGCAGCGACTTATTATGCTTACCCCTCATTCACCTCTCAGATATGGTTTTTTGTGCAAATTTTATTTTACTGGGGATTCTTACAGCACGTATGACAATCTGTACATATATCCGTTTTGCCAAACACATCTGTACATATGTTGTCAACATCTTTTTCAAAACATTTTCTTTCAACTTGAGCCCTTGGTATCTGCTCCTTGTTTTTTTCCCTCCCTCCCCTTTGTCCCCTTGATAATTTGTAAATTTTTTTTTTTTTTTTTTTTCATGTCTTACACTGACCACTGTCTCATTTCACCCACTTTTCTGCTGTCTGTCCCTCTGGGAGTGGAGGGGGGGGGGGGCAAACATCAATTATTGTATTTGATTAGCCCCTACTCCTCCCCAGCTTCCCTTCCCCTCCTAGTATTGCTGCTCCCCTTATTCGTCCTGAGAGATTTATCTGTTATAAATTCCCTGTGTTGCAAGCTCTTATATCTACCAGTATACATGTTCTGGTCTAGCCAAATTTGGGGTCATGATAGGGGGGAGGGGTGCATTAAAGAACTAGAGGAAGGCTTGTGTGTTTCGTCAGTGTTATACAACACCCTGACTGACTCTTCTCTTCCTTGTGGCCCTTCTGACAGGGGGTGTCCAATTGACTACTGCTGGGCTTTGGGTCTCCACTATGCCCTCCCCCTCATTCCCATTGATATGGTTTTGTTTTGGGTCTTTGATGCCTGATACCTGATCCCATCAACATCTCTTGGTCACACAGGCTGGCGAGCTTCTTCCATGTGGGATTTGTTGCTTCTCTACTAGATGGCTGCTTGGTTATCTGCAAAACTTTAAGACCCCAGACACTATATCTTTTTCTTTTTTTTAATTAAATGATCATTTTATTAGGGGCTCATACAATTCATCACAATCTGTACATATGTCATTTGTGTCCAGCACATCAGTACATATGTTGACTTCATCATTTTTACAACACCCGCTTTCCACTTGAGCCCTTGGTGTCAGCTCATTTTTGCCCCTCCCTTCCTGCTTCCCCTCCCCCTTCCCCCTGATAATTTATAAATCATTATTATTTTATCATATATTACCCCATCCAACATCTCCCTCACCCACTTCTCCGCTGTCCATCCCCCAGGGAGGAGGCCACATGTAGACCTTGTCCTCTGTTCCCCCTTTCTCCCTCTCCTTCCCTCCACCCTCCCGTCATCGCCACTCTCTCCACTGGTCCTGGGGGAGTTCATCTGTCCTGGGTTCACTGTATTTCCAGTTCCTATCTGTGCCAGTGCACATCCTCTGGTCCAACTGGATATATAAGGTAGAATTGGGATCATGGTAGTGGGCGGGGGAGGAAGCATTTAAGAACTAGAGGAAAATTGCATATTTCATTGTTACTACACTGCACTCCGATTTGCTCCTCACCTCCCCGCAGCCCTTCTGCAAGGGGATGTCCAATTTCCCCCGGATGGACCCTGGGTCCCCACTCTGCTCTCCCCCTCATTCACAATGTTATGCATTTTTTTTTTTTTTTTTTTTTAGGTCTTTGATGCCTGATACCTGACCCTTTCGCCGCCTTGTCATCTTACAGGCTGGTGTGCTTCTTCCATGTGGACTTTGTTTTTTCTCAGTTCGATGGCCCCTTGTTTATCTTCCAGCATGTGGGACCCCAAATTCTGTGTAAGTTGACAGCTTGGCACCATCAGCTTTCTTCACTGCATTTGCTTATGTATCCGCTTTGTCTTCAGCATTCGTGTCGGGGTAGGCTGGTGTGCTTCTTCCTTGTGGGTTTTGCTGTTTCTAAGCTAGATGGCCGCCTGTTTGTCTTCAAGGCTTTAAGACCCCAGATGCTGTATCATTTGATAGCCGGGCACCATCTGCTTTCTTCACCACTTTTGCTAATGCATCCCCTTTGTCCTCAGCGATCGAGTAGGGATAGGTTGGTGTGCTTCTTCCGTGTGGGTTTTGTTGTCTCTCAGCTAGATGTGCTTGTTTATCTTCAGGTCTTTAAGGCTTCAGGTGCTACCTCACCTCTCACATATGTTTTGATTGATCTAACCCAAACAGGAACACTACGCCTTCCTCATTGTCAATTTTCTAACCCTTATTATTCCCCTGCCCTTGTCATTATTGGCACTATTGGCTCACCACTCACCTCCCCATGCACCCCACTCACCCCCGAACTGTTGGTCCTGTCACTGTCTCTATGGAATTGCTTGTCCTGCCTATCTTATATAGATAGACACCCCTCTCCAAAAAATCAAAAGACCATATAAGTAGTTCCAAGTCTTCTTGATGTACTGACCCATCTGACCCATCATCCACTGATTTATACGTGAAACAATTAGAGCTAAATATCTGAAGTAAAACCTAAACAAACACTCAAAGGTAATACAAAACAAGAACAACAACATTGCATTTAAATCAATTACGGCTCTTGGTAACCACACAAGTAGAACTGTATGTAACAAGCCCTTTGATATTTGAGATACAACAAGAATTGCTAGGGCAGATTATATTTTCTGAAGATTGCTGCAACAATAGCTCTTGTTCCTCAGGTTCTCATGATGTGACTCTGGCCCTCCTGACATGAATGGTTTGTGTCTAGCTTCCCTCCACTTGAACTTAGATAACCTCTGTGGCAATGTTGACCAGGAAAGTATGATATAAATGGCATAGTGGTTATGTGATGGGCTGCTAATCACAAAGCCAGCATTTCTACTCTGTCCTATAAAGTCCCAAGAGTGGGAATTGACTTGATGGCAGTGAGTTTGGTGTGATTTCCCTCCACTTGAACTTGGGTAGACCTTTGTGGTAACATTGACCAAGAAAATATGATATGAATGACACAAGTGACTTCTAAGGAGAGATCATAAAAGACCACACATTTCCCCTTTGCTCTCTTTGGGTGCTTTCTTTTGAAACACAGTCAGCATGCTGTAAAAATACTCTACTTGGAGGAGAGCCAGAAGTAGTTAGTGAGACCAATATCCCACCTATGATTTCAGCTGGTAGCTAGCAGTCACACCTAGACCTGCAGGAGAAAATGCTTTCAACAGTCCAGCTTCCAGTTATTGAGTCACTGTAGTACATGCTTGATCAACTGAGACCTTTGACATTAGGCAACAGAGACCTATTATCCCTACTGTACTCTGAATTCCTGACTCACAGAATCCAGGAGCATAATAAATGGTTACTTGAAACTACTATGTAACTGAAACTGCAAGGACTAAGATTACTATGAAAAATACTTTGACCCTGAGAAGAATATATCTCAAAAGATGGCACTGAATCTGCAGCTTCGGGAGAAGGATATATCTGACCAGAGCACACAGGAACAGATGACGGGGGAGGAGGAGAGACAGGAGCACATCCTGACCCACTAGGCCAAATAGAGCAGCCAGTCCACAGAGAGGA